AATTAAGTCTGGGCGTTGGACTGTCTTCATTATAGTTAACTCGATCCCATGACAGTTTTTCGCACAAGGGTATCCAATCATCATGGGAACTCTGGAATAAACAGCTATTCCGTGATATGGACGGTTAACATTTGAAATCTCGTCATTTCTAAATAACTCATAACCTTCAATTGCATACATTTCATCAGGATCTTGTGAACTAAATTTTGTTTCAGTAAAAATCAGGATATCGGCTGAGGAATAATTAATATCTTTTCGTACATCTTCTATGTGCTTGTGCAAAGATCTTGCATTGAGATGACAAATTTTGATATCAGTGTGATTCAGCATGTACAAAGGAGTAAAACAAATATCTAATTTATACTCATTTCTCAGAGATTGCATTTCTTGTACGACTTTAGGATCAACAGAAATCTTACTCTCGCACAGATCAGTTATATATAGTCCTTCAATTGTTGTTACTCAGCTTAGAGCGACGTAATGAATATGAGGAATTGCTCTTCTCGTATTCAAATTAACGACGATTTGTGATTGAGTATCACCTTGTGATCTCTGAACAGTTTTAGCCGATGCTGGTCTTAAGGGAAATTGCTTTCTTACCACTTGAGCAGACTTTGTTTTACCTACAGCAAATTGCGAGAGGGTTTGGTATCGTTGGTCAACTGAATATATTTAATGACATTACTTGCGCCGTTTGTTAGTCCATCATCAGTGCGTATATTGATCGCAATTTCTGTTCGTTGTCCGACTGCAATACTTTATGTAGCTTATAAGCCAACTGTTTTGAATTTTTCAAAGGAACATGTGGTATTTGTCTGATTATTTTTTCCTTGAGTTCAGTTGTACAGGCTCCAATGACGCTATCTTGTGCCTTGATTACGTATTTATCACCATAATTGAATGATTGATAAACTTTATGATTATATTCATCAACTAAAGCATTTTGAATGAATGAACGTGGGGCATCTCTGGGACACATATTCTGTTCAACGCATCTCTCTTTCAGTTTTTTAAGATCACTAGGAGTATGATTACCTTCACGAAGTCGATTGAGAATCTCTGCGAAAATCTTGCTTTCTGTGTGTCTCATGATTTCATCGAGCTCAAACATTTTAAAATATTTCCTCCATAAGTTTCCTCCATTCCTTGAATAAATGTTAGGTAACAGAATTGACTTCCATTTCAAAATAAAATGATTTGGTCCTCCGCGTCAAGCTCGAAAAGTCGAAGCGGACAACACACAAGCTATATATATTACCATAAGCTTCAAAACATCGGTACTCGTTATGACGTCACATCAGCAAACATGGCGACTATAAAAGTTCGCATTTGATACCGAGGTTTGAGGGCAAAATTAGTCAACTTCTACTTAACACACAAAAGTCATATATACACCATATTGTTTCTAAAAGACTGAATATTTGTTTAGGCTAATAAAAATGGGGTCAAAAATTTCGTTGCAGTAGCACTTTAATCAACCATGCAGCTGCTTGCATTACTTTGTGAGGTCTTATATTCATTGAAAGCGCAGAACTTTTGTATTGTAATCTTCGTTTAAGTTGAACTTTAATAGAACCTGTCTCATCTGATAATCTAGGAAGCACGTTTACTGTGCTATTTACATCTGCTGGAACATTGACAACATTACCAGTTATCTTGAGTTGACCACCCCTTGGGGCCTGAAAAATCTTTTGAAATGCTAGTCGAGGAGCAATAAGTCGACATTCTAGTTCATTCAGTTCAAAGAAAGATGGTTTTTCTGGAAATTTCATGCCATTGGCAATTGCACAAGGGGGAACTTTCCCTTTCATTAAGTAATTGTTACAGGTTTGACAAACCCATTCAATGTTATCCACACTTTTTATATTTTGCAGATACTTGATTATATCAGGACTGACCATTTTTACTCTGTCTGCAGGGGAGACAGAATGTTTATACCATAATTGATCACAGCAAGTGCAAACATACAAAGGTCCTCTAGATACAGAATTATGAAACTTTTTAACAAGTGCAAATGTATCAATATTTTCACTGGGCAAGTAATTTACAGCATCTGTAACAATTCTCACTGAATGCGATTTGTTACCTTTTGTCTCAAACTGCTTTGCAGAGTTATTTTTTTTTCTACAAGCTCTTTTTCATTCATTATTTTTTGCAAGTCTAGCTTCCTTTTGCTGAATGGTCTCATTATTTAATTTTTCTTTTCTTGATTTATTATATTCTCTTCTTTTTGCAAGTCTAGCTTCTCTTTGCTCCGTTGACTCATTTAGTATTCTTTTAGCTTCTCTTTGCTCTGTTGACTTATTTAGTATTCTAGAATTATTATAATCTCATTTTTGCAAGTCTAGCTTCTCTTTGCTCTGTTCACTCTCTTAGTATTCTAGAATTATTATAATCTCTCATTTTTGCAAGTCTAGCTCCTCTTTGCTCTGCTGACTCATTCTGTCTTTTTGTTCTTTTGGCATTATTATCCTTACTGATTTTTTCAAGTCTAGCTTCACTTTCTTCAGTTGACTATATTTGCATATTGTTAATGAAGCTTAATATATTCCTTTCGCCTTTAGTCTGGCGCTATAGGTATGTGGTTTGATGTCGTTTGCAAAATGTCTGGGCAAACGGTGCGGCTGTTTGGCGAATATGCAAGCGAAGTCGCAAAATACTATAGCATTTACCTTAAACACCTTGGTGTCTTGAAAAGCTATGGGGATATACATGCGCCATGTAAAGTTACAGTAAACTGGTTTGCTGGTCAAGCGTGCTTTAATACTTGGTATACGAAGCAAACAATGGATAGTAGACATCATGGGACAACAGTTATTGTTGAATGCTGTTTTGTCAAGAAGGTATTATTAAATATAGATATGTCTAAGATATTATTAAGTATAGATATCTTAAATGGTCCTCGCATGATCATCTCTGACTCTGACACAGTGAATATACTGTATAAAAAGTATGAAAAAGCTAACGAATTTGAAAAGTATTAAAATGCTGTATAGACAGTGCATATTACACTGATAGCAGGGTGTATCAGAAAAAACTAGAAGATTTTAAAATGTTCAGAAAACTATCATTTTATCAAGATATCTCAAAAATATATTTACGTCTACGTATTTTAGCATCTTCTGGCTTATCTAAGAGTAAAAACTAGCAGAAAAATTAACCTCGAAAAGCGGGAGAACGGTTTGTAAAAGCCTCATTTTTAACCGCTTGTGCAAAGAAAATGAGACGTTGAAAATCCAAGTTCAGTTAAAGAGGTGAAAGTTTGGAATCTTCTGTGCAATGTATCGCAATTTCAAAAAATTTGATAAACATTAGGTCCGCCGCGAAACGTTTCAAAATTGGATTTTTTCCCCGTTTACTTCGCTCTCTCGTAACTTTTTACACGCAAGAATGATTTCATGCATGAGTGATAGTTGAAATGACGTAATTACCAGCACTCTTAGTTAAATGAAAACAATAAAACAAGTGTTGTGTTAGTTATGTCATTGTTAGTTATGTTTAAGTATGTCATTCCAACTATCACTCATGCATGTAATCATTCTTGCGTGTGAAAAGTTACCAGAGAGCGGAGTAAACAGGGGAAAAATCCAATTTTGAAACGTTTCGCGGCGGACCTAATGTTTATCAAATTTTTTGAAATTGCAATACATTGCACAAAAGATTCCAAACTTTCACCTCTTTAACTGAACTTGGATTTTCAACGTCTTATTTTCTTTGCACAAGCGGTTAAAAATGAGGCTTTTACAAACCGTTCTCCCGCTTTTCGAGGTAAATTTTTCTGCTAGTTTTTACTCTTAGATAAGCCAGAAGATGCTAAAATACTCAGACGTAAATATATTTTTGAGATATCTTGATAAAATGATAGTTTTCCGAACATTTTAAAATCTTCTAGTTTTTTCTGATACACCCTGTATTTAATAGTCCAGAGTGCATTCTATGCACAAAATGGCATGGACTTTTATAATGAAAGTAGCTTAAAATTGCCATATTGGGCATGAACTTTGTACAGCATTCATCTCCTCCATTTAAATGATATGCAGCATTATGTTAGTCTACCCTATATCATAGGACAAGGCATAGTATCAGGAATTTATTCAAGACTTAGCTGGCAACCAGAAAATTTTGCCAGCTACTTTAATTAAACCCCTGACTTCTTAGGTATTTGAGTAGGAATTTATCTAACCAATATACCCCAAGATTTTCTATTGACTAGTACACAGGTAAAAATTGATCAGGTTGTAGCAGGTTGATGAAAACAGGGATGAACAATGTTGTAACTGCACTTCTCGAACATGGTTGTCAACAAGTTGCAACAACTTAACAAGTTGTTGCAACCATGTCCATGGGGTGAAGCACAACAATGTTCAGTCATGTTGTCATCAACATGGAACAACTTGTTCATTTTACCCATGTAACTATTCTAAGCCAGCTAGCTGCCATACACATGAATAAGATCATATGGCAAAAATTTTGAACACCTGTTTTGCTTTTTTATTAGCAATACTGGAATAAGTAAACATGAAAAACTGCTCTTTTGTGTAATATAAGTGTAGGTCTCATTAAATAAAATTTGGACATCTCATTTTATATCATTTAATAGCACATCCATTCCACACCAGTGTTGACATCTGTCGCTCCACCACCATCTGGATATGCTTAAGAACAATTTTCCAATCTGGACTTAACAGATGCAACAAATGATTCAAAACATTCTGTTTTAAAAACAATCTTTGGACATGATAGTTTTAGGGGCAAACAAGAGGAGGTCATAAATTCAATATTGGAGGGGGAAAATTGCCTGATTATAATGCCCACTGGTGGAGGAAAATCAGTTTGCTATACAGTACCAGCAATTGTTTCTGGTGGTGTCACTGTTGTCATCTGTCCATTGTTGTCACTGATGATGGACCAAGTGAATATGCTAAGATCAAAAGGACTTAATGTTTGTTTACTTAAACTCATCAGTCCAACAGAGTGATCGAGATGTTATTATGCACAATATGTTGTCAGAGGTACCAGACTACAACTTTGTCTTCCTAACTCCAGAGACTGCAACATCGTCAGATATTGTAGATGTATTGTCAAAGATGAAGTTAAATAGTACTTTAACATACATAGTCATCGATGAATGTCATTGTATTGACATGTGGGGATTGGATTTTAGACCAGCCTATGCCAATCTTGGAATATTTGCAAGTTTAAATTGTCAAGTCATTGCTTTGACAGCAACTTGTACTCCAAGGACAGAGGAGATAATATTATCATCACTTAATCTCACCAGTGTTATAACAATAAGACAAACATGTGACAGACCAAACATTTCAATAATTGTCAAGCCAAAAAAAGGTGATGGGAAAGAGCAAGCTACCAATATGATTGTTAATGAACATAAAGATCAATGCGGCATTGTGTATTGTACAGAAAGAGCAACTACCCAGGACATGACCTATTGTTTGCAAACAAAAGGCGTAAATGCAACATATTTCCATGGTGCTCTTGATCCTTATAAAAAAGAGGAGAATTTTGATGCTTGGTACAATGGAAGAGCACTTGTTATGTGTGCAACAGTTGCTTTTGGAATGGGAATAGACGAAGCCAATGTTCACTTTATTATTCACCTAAGCATTCCACAATCAATAGAGTGCTATGCACAAGAATTTGGCCGTGCTGGAAGAGATGGGGAAGATGCAATCAGTTGTCTCTTTTTTCGTTTTGAAGACCGAACAAAGCAGCTCAAAATGATAAGTTCTCTGCCAGATGGCGAGCACAGATCATTTAAGATCCAAAACTTAAACGAAATGGTTAAGTTTTGCATCATGCCACGTTGTCGAAGAATCCAGCTGGTTAAATACTTTGGTGAAGGTACCAGAGAGGCATGTGAGAGCAAATGTGATTTTTGCCTTGGAGGAGCTAGAGTTGACCATCAAGATGGTAAAGATGATGCATTGCATGTACTAAGCTGCTTAGAAAATATGCAACAGCTGCATCCTAAAGTTACCCTTCAACATTTAACCCTGACATACAGAGGATCAAAAAGGAAAGAAGTTCTTGCCAAGGCCTACAATACTGTTCCAGAGTTTGGAAAGGGAAAGGACACCTTCTCAGATGCAAGTCTAAAACAATTTATTCAATTATTGATTTCTGAAGGTGTTATTGTTGAATGCTTGAGAGATGCAAAGGACATAAGCACAACTCCATATCTAATCAGTGGTAAGAAGGAAGATTTAATTAGAAAAGGAGAACTTCCCATTTGTAAATATAAGTAAGTTTTGTTGTAAATGTATATAATTATTTACATATGTACAAGAATATTTCTAATGCACCAATCATTTGAAACTCCAGTCCCTCAAATCCCCATGTCTATGCAATGATTTCAATATTTCATGACTGTTAAAACCCTGGCTACAAACTATAGTTCAGCAATTATTAGAAATCCCAAGTGATTCAACAATTTCAAATACAAATGGGCATTTTTTGGAAAGTGCATCCAAAATTTCTTTAAACAGCATAGGATTTATATTGCCAGATGATTCCAGAACAGAGCTACCACGAATGTTCTTGTCACAAATGTCTTCAAAAAATCTCATTTCACATTTGATGGTAGCTTTCTGTTGTTCAGTTAATTGATTTGCATTGATGTCATCCTTCAATTTTTGTATTTCTGCTTCATACATATTCACAAGAATGTTTATGTAGTTGTCCCTTCTACTGTTTTCTCTTGTGTATTCTGCCAAAAGACTAGTGATATCATCACCATTGCTGTAGGTGGAGTTAAGTCTTGTCCAGATATCATTTAACATATTACCACAAGCTTTTAAGGTGTTAACTAGCTTGGCAATGTCATCTGCAGTAATAGAAACAGAAAGAAATATATTATTAACTGAAAAAAACAAGGAATAATATGAGTGGTATTAATTTATGAACCACGGACCAAGTGATAATCCTCAATAGCCTCTTGTTGGACACATTGCAGTACATTTATATAGATTGTTGGCTGTGATAGGTTGCCAGACAATACATTTAATATCCTTTCCTCCATTTGAGGTAACGGGTGACAAGGTTCAGGGGTACACTGCTTTCAATATGATACTAACATAGCATAGAGAATATATGGTAGGGCCACTCAGCCTTACAATGTGTCTCCAATATTTCATGTAATCGATTGGACATATTAATGGCAGACAAGACAGTTTAGTCAGTGTGTTTATATTGTTGGCCAGAACATTAACTAACATGAAATTGAATAAGGCAGACAACATGCCTTAAACATTTAAAAGCTTCTCACTTGAGTGACCCTACTGTTTTTTCTCTAAGATGAGATAATTGCCAAAATAAAAAGTGAAGTACACATTAAGCTAGCAAAAAACATATTTGCACCAAAATGGTTAATAATCTGCAATTATGGTGCAAAATACAGTACCAGTTTACTATACTTTATGGCATTGCACACAAATCTTACAATAAAAATAAACAGCTATAAACAGATAAAATGTGAATCACCGTTTTCTTCCTGATCATTGTGGGACAATTGGCTTGTCTGGTGTTTCAGCGCCAAGTTTACATAGTAAGTTATGTACACAATTAAGGAAAATGATACTATAATTTAACTGATACAGTAATGGACTTTACCGTTTATTCACGTTTAACCTAATTGCCTTGTTTCCATGTTTGCCAGTTTGAGCATGAAAGGCACACATGAAGTTTTTATTCCCATCCCTCCTGGATGAATTTTTTTTCATTATTCTTAAACCCAATAACAAGTAAGCTCTTAACTTTAATGTGCACAAAACATGCATTGAGTAAATAGAGCAAGAAAACAAGGTCATTAGGTCAAAAGTGGATAAAGGGTAAGGTCCATTGTGCCACCAATCCATACTGTATGTATCAAGTGGTGGACCAGCAACATTATTTTGTGGGGGTGCTGGAGATCTGGGAAGCACAACAGTTGAGTCTTGCACAGCCAGCAGCATGCTATAATGAAGTTTCAACAGATTTACAGAGTAGTTGAACAAACATATGAACAAATCTGCCACAACAAGACAATGACATTTGTTGAGCAAAACATTAACAGGGGTGCACAGTATTCCACAACCCAATATTAAAATCCACCCTTTATACATCAGTTATACAACATAAAAAGGATACTGTTTATGTCCACCTTTGTTTTCTCGCCTTGTGTATACTCCAGGGAAAAATTATTTTACATGTCGTGATAAAAAAACTTTTTTATCATTTTCAAAGCCCAAACGTAAAAGTAAAAAATCCACAGTCACTTCAGACCCTTCCTTCAACTCAAAAAATTGCTTTAACAGCACCTCTAAATGTTTCTTTCGACTTGTGACTTAACGTCCAGATGGTTTTCCTCCTACATAGTTCAATATATCTTGTTAGCAAGGAAGTACTCATGATACATTATATGAAACATAAATATAAATTTTTATTGAGTAACAATATTACTTACCAACGTTGAGTCGCTTTCGTTTGGGCAATGATACTTTTGAAGGCGTAAGGTGATGCTTTCCTCCAATCGGACTTTCTTCTACGTTTGCCTCCTGCCGAACGCCTTCTTTTGGCGTACTTGATCGCGGAGAATCATCTATAGTGAAAAATTATGCTTGTCCGCTTAAATAAAGCTGAGAGTTTAAGTTAAAATATGATATACTTAACAATTTCCACGTGCATATGGTAGTACTCATCATACGCATGTATCATTATCTTGAAAATTGATACTTACCGTCGATAGACATGTTGCTGAATGATATTTCAAGTTCTTCATCATCAAAATAATCTTCTAAGACCAGGGAAGGGCCACTTTCGTCGAGCAAATCCGCCATAATTTACATTCTTTGCGCAAATTTTAGCATTTGCATAGTTTCAACTAAATTTGCAGAGTTTTGAGACACGATTTCGCAGGCCCTTCGCTTCTCATATTTCAGTATCCCATAATGCATTGCCTGACACTAATCCCAGCCACTGATCTATATGATTGCACTGCACTGTGTTCAACGAAGGGCCTGCGGAGGAGGCAGCATCAAACATACCACAATTTGTAGAATTTTCTGTAGACAATACTGTTTGCATATCATGATTATGGATGCACTTTACACCCTTTAACTCAAATGGTAATACAATACTTGCTTCATTGGAAATTGATGTTAATCGAAAATACTCTCCAAGATTTTCTATTCCTTCCACTGATATTAAAACACAATAACCCAATGCAGATGGTTTACCAGATAGATCTCTTGAATGTGAATCAAACACTTTAAACACACCAGGAAAAGGCATCATAATTGCCACAGTGTTCATACCAATTGTAAGTAAACAACTTTTATAGTTTAATGAATAAAATATTTCATTTAAAGCATGCTCAAGTGTCACAAATGGGAGACTATTTTCACTCATGTATAATGCTCCTGAAAAGGAATCACTGTATTGCAAATTAAAGGTATGATTGTCTATGTCAACAAACTAGGCATGGCCCGATTGTGCTCGGCAACTTTTGAGCAACTTTTTACTTTTAGAGCAACTTTTTTTGTGCGAGCAACTTGAAGCAACATTCTTGTTTTGAAGCTATTTCTCAGCAACTTTTACGCTTTTACTAAAATGCTTAAACATGATAGCGTTAATAACTTCATTTTCTGCAATATATTTATGTACACGTACACTCCGTATAAGTACAGCATAATATAAGACATGATAGTGCCTGGTGCCTGCTTCCTATTTTTAGTAGTTATTTGGTAGAGTCAGTGTTTCCACAATGCAGGAAATGTCTTGTTTAATTAAGGTTCTCAGTTGTAAACGGGACTTTTTTGCCTTTTCAATGAGAAATAACACACACTCTAACAACGAAAAAGTGTTCAAAATTATAGGAAATTTTATAAAGATGTTGGTTTCCACAATGCAGGAAATGTCTTGTTTAATTAAGGTTCTCAGTTGTAAATGGGACTTTTTTGCCTTTTCAATGAGAAATAACACACACTCTAACAACGAAAAAGCGTTCAAAAATATAGGAAATTTTATAAAGATGTTGAGAAATTTCGTAGTTTGATTGTGGAAACACTGCCTGGGTTCCGTGTTTACTTGAAAACAAGATAGCAGCTTATGAATATGCACAAGTGTTAATATATTATGATGACTGATTTGGAGGAGCTGTCAGATTCGTCAACGTCGATATCAGGGGACGAGAATATTGAAGAAGATCCAATTGCAGTAGCAGAAGATGCTGGTGCAACATTTCGTATACCAGAAGCAGCAGCCATTGCATTTCCTATTCTAGATATTCGTGTAATTCGGTTCAAAAAAATTTTAAGTTTTGTTAATTAAAAGGACTAAAAGAATGAATAAAAGCGTACAAAAACCTCTTGCCATTGTATAATAGCCTTAATAAGTACAAGCAATATTTTCAGTTTAGTAGCAACTTTTCCTTGTTTCGAGCAACTTTTAAGCAACTTTTATGCTTTTTAGAGAGCAACTTTTTAGTTTTAGTGGGCAACATTTTGGCTTTTTACGAGCATAATCGAGCCATGCCTACAACAAACTCAGGGACATCAGTTAATAATAAATAACTCCTATTTATACTTTGACTGATAACACCATACAAACTGTTTCCATTTATTAAAACTGTGTTTAGAATTGATCTATCCCAAATATTGACTGATTTAATTTATTTGTAAACAATTGCATATAATGACATGGCTACACACTGTTTACCAGCACTCATACCAAACATTAAATCATTACCTTGATTAAAATCTGCATGAATTGTACAGGCAGGATCAACTAAATCATTTAAAGTTCTAGGACCTGGATTTTCCTCTACATCATTTGAGAGTCTTAGTAATAATGGCACATAAACATCATGATAGTATATCATTTGAACATACCAAAAGCACAATTCACTAATCTTTTGGCTCTTATTCAATTGGCTTTTGAAATAAGGCAAGCAGAATACATTGAAATAAAACATTAATAGTATTTGATTCCAAAGTTTACCTTTGAGACGGCACATACTGTTGCGACGGTCTGTAAAATTGTGGTGTGAACCAATCCTGGAGCGATAAACTTATATAGTGACACCCATATTTGTGGCCTAGAACTCAAAACCAATTGTCGAGTTAATTTAGATATTACTGAAGATTTTTATTTGTCAGCATATTCGTAAGTAATGTACCTGCAAGTCAGCAAGCAGTCAGCAGTGTTATTTTGTTTGAATATAGCAGCAGTTGTGGCTGTTAATTGTTTTATATACCCGCATAATGGCTGGGTTCAAATTTCAATACCCGCACAATGGCTGGGTTCAATTTCAATACCTGCACAATAGCTGGGTTCAATTTCAATACCTGCACAATGGCTAGGTTCACTTTTGGTATGTGGCCTTTCACGTAAATAGTACCCTGGTCTATGATGACGACCAGTGCAAGCAACAATGGCTCCGGTTTTTTTTAGTTTTTCGATACGTGCACTCTGACACGTTGAGCGCCTGACAAGATGATGTCAGTGCAGGCAAGATTGCCCCGTATACAATGAAATGTACGCTTGTAAAATCTGATTGTAGTCGAAATTGCTCGACCACAGCAGATAAATAAGCGATTAAAATAACAAAAACCCACAAAAAAGCAATACAGCTTACCTTAACTTTGCTAAAACGAAACAACGCAGTCAACGCCTCCACGAAATCACAGTGGAAACTTGAAATCTTGGCAAAATAACAGCTTACGATATTTTCCGAACTAGTTACGATATTTTCCGAACTAGTTACGATATTTTCCGGAAGTCATAAAGAACGGTATTATCGTCATCTGTTCGTTTATCCGACAATCGGCGAAGATCTGGACTATTATTTATTTTGTGCTAAGACATTTTTCAACTCTCACATAGTGGTTAGCCGCGCATGCAAAGTGGCTACCCACAAAAAGTATTTTGACAATGTTACAAGTTTGTGGTTTATTTCAAAGTAAATTTCAACCAGGTAAATAACTTTTAACATATAAAACATAAACACATACAATCCAGCTTGCACGACATTTTGACATTGTGCTTGTCTCATTTGCATAATGCTTTGTCTGAGTAGGGGCCTAGACACAATGATGTAGATTATGAATAAAATAAAAAGTATGCTTTAAAATTATATCTCTAGGATCTTCGAGAAGTTCCAAAATCAGGTGTAACAACAGTCGCAACAAATCATAAATCTGCAAAAACAAATTAGAAAAGGAAATGCTAACAACACAAAACTTTTGTTGTACCTTAGGCAAATCAATCAGGATCAAGTAATGCCATGGAGTTGGATGGAGCTAAGCAATGCTTTAAATTCATAGCTGATGAAGGTTTGAAAGTTTCATCCTTTATTAGTGATCGTCACAAAGGCATTGCTAAGTAGATCTGTGAAACCCAACCAAATGTCCAGCATTACAATGATATTTGGCACGTGAAGAAGAGTTTAACGAAGAAGTTGTTGCAAGCTGGTCAAGAAAAGGGAAATGAGGCGATAAAACTGTGGATGACAGCCATTGGTCGTCATCTTTACTGGTGCACTCGCTCAACCAAGCAGGGTTTTAGCAAAATAGAAGTCACTGATTCGTCATATTGCTGACAAACATGACAACCATCGTGATGAGCTCTACCCAGTATGTGCTCATGAGCTTGAACTGCATGCATGGATCCCAATTGGTAAGTATCAGCAATTATATCAGAGCATGGTGTTGCATAATAATTATAGAACAAGGTATCAGTCATTGCCTGATAACATACATTATATCTGTCCTGCACTTTTATCCAGTTTGCACAAAATCATATAATCACAGTGAATTTTGTTCAAAGTCAGACACATAAGTGAAATTGTGTTTTAGGGAATTATAGTGATGTAATTTCTGTCCATATTGACAGGTACATCAACCTATGACAGATTGGCCATGATTTTGATGGACCCAAGAAGACTAGCTGACATCAAGAAACTTTCTTCTGATGGTCAAACTAGTTGCCTAGAAGGGTTTCACTCGACCCTCAACCACTGGCACCCTAAAATGCAACATTTCTCTTGGCTAGGTACATACTGCAGGTAAACACAAATAGTCTGTAGTATTGATCAGTTTTGTTTTAAATTTGATGTTTAAAGGACAAGTAACTTCACTCTCCATGTACATTTACCATCATTGCTTGTTTGGTATATACAGTTACTAATATTTTTGAAATACACTTTTAGGCATATTTTGGCCATTTTGCATTTCAACGAGAATGTAAGTAGACAAACGAGAAAGACGGCAGATGGATGCCCCTATTACAATGTGGTGTTTCCCAAATATAAACTTGGCGAGGAGGTTGTCTGGGAAATAGCCATCCAACCTACGTATGGTAAGTAATAATTACATCATCACACTTTGATTTGAACCCAAATATATAATTTTACAAGTCAAACCATTCATAAATCGTGCAGATAATAAAGCCTGGTGCATTGTTGTCTAAATGGCTTTGGGGGTTAAAAATGTTGAATTTGTATTAGGTTATGTTCATGAAATTAAGAAAGTACTTTTTGCAAGGACCAAGAAGGAACTTGAAGCCACCATCCAAGTTTACGTTAAGAAAGCCCCTAAGTCACTTACATCTCAATTTCCTTCCTGAGCGAAAGACAAAATCAGCTGCCATTGATAGTCAAAAAAAGAGAAAGAGCATGGAGACACCATTACACCCTCCCTGTAAGTTAAAATTACATGTACAATGTAAATATGTTGGTCTTAGAAGTGCAAATGTAAAGTAATCATTTCCAGTTATATTTTTAGTATGTGAGCAAGACCAGCATCAAGAGAAGTTGGCGCAGGCACAAGCACAGGCACAGGCACAAAAGAAAAAAGAAAGAGAAGACATTGTTGTAAATGCAAAGCGCCAATGTTCGGACATCCAAGGAGTCATTGCCCTTAGGGAAATGCATAGGCTCATTGCACACTAATATTACACCAGTTGAATGATTTAATACAACAATTTCATTTTTAGAAAACAAAATGTTTCAGTCTCTATTTTCTGTCTGCGAGTATCCTTTATCCATTTGGAAATTTTTTCATTATGTGATGGTAAATGCAGGCAGGTAATGGTCTTCTATTATCGCACCCGAGATATCCATAAAACCATCTAACCAGCCATCTGTATGCCACAGCTCGCAGGTATCTAGACTAAAAAGTAACAAACCTTTACTAACATTGCATAATAAAGTTCTATATAATCTTTGGTATTTATGATTTCGAGAGTTGCAGAGATAAATAAATTTTTTGCCAAACACAAAGGTCAACCAGCATAGAAAACGACAATGCCCCAGGTGTTGGTCTAATAGTATTAGCGAAAATATAAAGGCCAAGAATTTTCCATCTTGTGACTTATTCATATTTGGCCCTGTTCTTCGTTTATATAAAACCATGCAGCAATGGTCCAACCATAGTCAATACTGCTGCGTTTACCATTGCCTCGTAATCTTTGTGTTGTGTTATGCAGGAGATTTGTTTTATAGAACCATCAAAAACTGCCTTTCCTATGGCACAAAGAACTTCTCGACAGCAGCGATATTCCAGTGCACCAACTAGCAATTCATCTCTGCATAAACTACACATACACCTAATGAAATACTACGGTATTTAATTCAACTGCATTCGAGTGCAAAGTCAGTGAAATGCAAATGATTGTCACTTTATATATTTTTTTTTATATACCATGTGGTCTAGGTAGCTAAGAGGGCAAACTACTGTTCAAGTTATGTGCAAAAAACTGCACTTACCAATCGTTTACTGGAATTAACTTCGTGTACTTTGCTTCTAGTGTTTGTGCAGGAATGCCGTCCTTGTCTTCTTCAAAATTTAATTTGTATTCTTGCCCAACAATGGCAAGAGGTTCATCTTGAAATGGCGCATTGCCATCAGGATGCAAATACACAACACCAAAATCTTCGCCGTTTGAACTTTCTTCTGTGGACAAACTTGCCTCAGATACATTGCCGCTACTTTCGGAATGCTCATCAGACATTTTGATGGAGTTAATTCATTATTGCAACCAAAAAAACGTTCGTAAAGAACACATTCTTTGCCACAGTGTATATCGTATTTACATAAAGGCGCCTGTGTCAGTCCTACATATGACGTCACGCAAAATGGCGGCCAAATTCGCACACACTGCTACACTTCAAGGGCAATTTATAATACAATGCGCATCATAATACGACATATATAATATATATGATTTCTTCTTTGAGTATGAATATCCTTCGTCATTTACCTTCTTTCTTTCCAGAGTAAATAACTCACCATAATTCTTCACTAGTGCATAATTTTCTTCAACCAATTCTTTGCTAGCTTTGTTCACTGCCTTTTGATATTCCGTTAGGTTTGCATCACTACCATCTTTTTCAAGATTTGTAAGATTAACTTGGACACATGTTTTCATTACCTCTTCGGATTTTAGCTAAAAGAAATAGGCATTTTCAAAAATCAGTGCCAGTATACCAATTTAAAGAATACAAAACATGTATAATAATTAGCATCTGAGTTTGTAAGTAACAAGACTCTTCAATAGCAATACAAACAAACTGTTCCCATTATGTTTCAACAGTTTCACCCCAATACATTTGTCGAAGATTTTTACATAAAATCTAAAATGAAACTTGCAATTTAAACTCACATCAACAGCTTCCCCAGCTTTCCCAGCTTTCCCAAGGGCAAGTGACACAGAGTCAAGTTAAATCAAGTTACCCTTCTTTCCCAGCCTCCTTTCATCATCTGTTCCATATGAAAAATGTCAAAATATACAGATGCATATAGCTTTCCTTACATGAGGTTGGGATTTGATGAAAAGAGAGAAACAAAGAACTTTTGAAAAGAATGGATAATTTATGCAAATAATGATGACCACTCCCCCATAGTGGAGCTGTTTTCTGAGAAAATCTTCTTTGATCATAAAAACCCTGAGCTGCTGAGACCAGAATGCTTTGCAAGCTTTTTTGTTTTTTAACCTAGAAGCTAGCAAAGTATTCTGGTCTTAGTACTTAAATTATACCATGAAATGTCATAATGGATAATTTGTCTATCGTTATTAGTCCTTCATGTTAATAGTAAAAGATATGTAAAATAATATCGCTTTTTATACAACACCTGTTATAGAATCATTCTTCCCAGACTTATCACTATTACGCTACTAAAATAAAACATAGTTAATAGCGAGTTGCAGGAAAACAAACAAATTCATCCTGCATTTTCAAATGCACAATTCAATTACATTTGGTCAAGGAAATAAGGTCAGAAGCAAACCATTGCCGCAGAGGGCTGCCCAGACAGTTAGTTTTGCACAGGAATCATTTCTTTGAAAGTTCAATATTGGTGGTTGCATCATATTGAGGTACATTGTGCATATTGACTTCTCCATTCAGCAAAAATGTGGCTTCGTCCCCAAAGATGAAATTATCCGAAAACAGTGTTGGTTGGTTGAACCACTCGGAGTGCAAAGTCACCTGCTAATAATTCATGTCGCACATGCATACAATATGGGTGCCACCCTAAATCAAGCCTTGTTATCCTGTTTAAACCAGCAGACGAAATTGGAAGGGGATTGTGGCAAGCACCCACATGTGGATTCTCCTTCATATAATACTCCGCACTGTGGGGTTCATTATGCAAGTTTCGCCACTATTCACCAGGCCATCGTGGTTCAAAGCTCTTTGTCATGCAAATGAGTCAGTATAAAAGACACCACTTGCCCAACCCACATTGCCTTTTTTTCACATGCATGCTACCTTGCCATCATGACTGACCAACAAGCTCTTAATCAGCGCGAAGTACCTTCAACGACTCCAAGTTTGTCTGTTGAAGCTCGCGTGGATGTTCTTGCACAGACTATGGATTGAATTACAGCCCAGTTGGCACATCTGACTGAAGCAATTAATATGGACCCGGTTGATCTAGACCTTGACGACGAACCTCAACAAATAAAAGCAGAAGTTGTTTCCATATTTGATCCTGCTGAAAGTATTTCACAAGAGTCAGGCAGTAAAAGCGTCGCCGAAGCTGAGTCACAGTTACCCCATAACGAACTATACAAGGATTCTGAAGATTGTGGCCCGACGGTTTCGGAAGGCGTTGCTTCAAGAATGAATATGGCCCGCAAAAACGTCCAGTCCAGCAAAAGAGCAATTTTTGCAGATTCAGAAGAAATATTTACGACCTGCTAATGCGAATTTTTGAAATTTCCCCAAGTTACTCCAGAGTTTGGGATGATTTGCATGATAAAACAAAGCTCGTGAAGCATCGTTTCAAGCATATCAGAAAAGATTAGTCAACAGCATTATCCCGGTGGTTTATTTGGTGGAAAAGGTCGTTCAAGCCAAACAGGCGCTGAAAGAATCAGTTCGACTATCAGAGATATATGATTTAGTCGTTGACCCCCTCACACTTCTGGTGGGGGGGCAGTGTTTGACTCGATTACAACTAGTGGGACATGATCGCACGAGGAGCGACTGTTACATATTAATTGCCTGGAGCTTAAAGCTGTTTGGTTTGCAGTACAATGTTTTGTTCTTGTTAAAGATGTATATGTTAAAGTCTTCAGCGATAATGCATCTGTAGTTGCCTACATTAATAATATGGGCGGACCGATTTGTCATCTTCATGACCGAAACTGTGTGATTGAGGCCTTTCATATTCCTGGAAAGTCCAATATCCAAGCTGATTACCTTTCTCAGCATTCCAATGATAATTTAGAGTGGAAACTACACCCTACGTTGTTTTCCTGGATTTGTCAAACCATATTTACTCCTGATATAGACTTATTCGCTTCTCTGCTAAATTTTCAGATTGATACCTATGTTTCTTGGAAGCCGGACCCGGAGAGCATGCAGTCGACGCTTTTGCGCTTAACTGGGGAAACTTTACTCCATATTTGTTTCCTCCGTTTAGTCTCCTGGGGAGAGTGTTAAAGAAGATTATCAACGATCAAGTGTCAGATGCAATCGTCATCTCGCCATGGTGGCCGACAGCTCATTGGTATCCAATTCGTCTGCAGTATGTGTGCAGCGTTCCGCTTCTCTTACCTCAGTGGCAGAGAATAATGTCTCATCCCCACGACAAAACTCGTCTACATCCTCTACGACAAACGATGCGCCTAATCGCATGGCATATCTCAGTTCTCGATTACAGAGTCATGGGCTTTCTGAACGGGCTACCCAATATGTCCTCAAGTCCTGGCGACCAGGAACAGAAAAACAATACTCAGCCGCGTGGAAATGCTTTTGTTGCTGGTGTAATAGGGAACAAACGAATCCCCTTGAGGCATCTTTAGGAACCATGTGTGATTTCCTAACAGACCAGTTTGATGTACAAAACAAGTCTTATTCCACCGTAAACACTTATCGATCAGCCCTGTCCTCATTGCTTCCACCTGTTGATGGAAAAGTCTTGGGTGAGCACCCAGTTGTGGGAAGATTATTGAAAGAAATGTTCGTTTCTCTACCTCCAAGACCAAAGTATACAACGACTTGGAACGTTAATACTCTACTGAAGCATCCTGGAATGCTTCACCCTATTGAGAGTCTGTCACAAAAACAGCTTACATTGAAAACAGTTGCCTTGGCCGCCCTTGTTTCAGCTCAACGAAGTCAGACACTATCTGCATTATCCCTACATTCTATGGTGAGAACGGCGGAATAATATTGTTTCACTGCAAATTCTTAAAACTTCACGTCCTGGAAATTTCCCTTGACAGTCTCCTTCCCTAGGTTTTCAAACAACAAGAAACTTTGTGTTTACAGTTGTATCAATTATTATATACCGATTATGAACAGTTTTCGGGACTTAATTCCAATGCAGAACTAATTTCTTTCCTTTGGCAAACCACACCAAGCGGCGTGCGCACCTACCATTTCTCGCTGGCTAAAACTTGCCCTGGAAAAAGCGGGAATTGATGTAGCGACTTTTACTGGCCATAGCTATCGCTCGGAATCTACGTCGAAGGCCTGTAAACAGGGAGTGCCCCTTGATCTGATTCTTAGAACAGCTGACTGGACAAATTCTGGCACCTTTCGTAAGTTTTATAAGAAAGACGTTTATCAGGAAGATACATATGCGAGGACTGTTCTAACTGTGTAGTCCGTGTTTTATGTCCAGCATATTTGTTTTTTCATTAAAATTTATCATCAAAAAGACTTGGGTGGTTTGTGGACTATGCTCCGGCCTCACTTTGCTTTAAACAATGCATAATGATATCTGAATACCCACCCTAAAGGTGAGACCTTCGCAGTGTTACAGTGCAAGCCCCCTAAAAAGACAATGTGGGTTGGGCAAGTGGTGTCTTGTATACTGACTTATTTGCATGACAAAGAGCTTTGAACCGTGATGGCTTGGTGAATAGTGGCGAAAATTGCATAATGAACCCCTGGTGGTGCGTATTATACTTGGAGAATCACAATTATCCTGCCGGTAAGACCCTTGTCTAATTTTATGTTTTCATGGAGATCTCTAACCACATTGATGTTGTCCACAGATTGTGTGGTTCTTTGCCTTCCAGAACCACCTTTGTTAAGATTAAGGCTTGTTCTTGCATTTAAATATTTTCACGTGTGGATTACAATCAGGGAACCTTTCTTAAAAAGCGTTTTGTACAACAGCTATACTTTGAGTCTGGATATAAGTCTGGTGTGACTAGTTAGTAATTTGATTACTGTGCAACTTTGCTATTATAAGTTACGTTTGAATTCCCAGGAGCAGTAAGCCTTTTGTGCTTGTAACAGAGATATGATATTTATGCACATAGCTGACAATATTTTATGATTCTTCGGCTAGCATAATGGTGACACATTGAAATTATAACAATAGATCGATTTCTAAAGGTCTTCTTTTTTTTATACACCCTCTGGTATGGCGCGTTATTATTATCAAAATTCAATAACTTAAATCGAGCATTAAAACGATAAAACGGCAAGGATGTATACAAAACGACCATATCATAGATTGTAAACAAGCCAATCAATCATGCAGCAAGAT